CATAGCAGGTCTAAGACAGAGCTTGGAATGGAAGCCGCCCAGACAAAGTCCATGTTTTGGTGGGTGTGATGGGATCATCTGTCTTCAAGGAGCAGAAGCAGTCCAGTTCCCAGCTGCACTCCGCTAAGTACTCAGATGTGCTCTCCTCCACTCCTGTTATCCCCTCCCGTCTTTAGGCCTGGTATGTGCTGTGATGTCCTCTGTGAATTCTTGACAGCCCTTGGGCTGAATCTCCAGCCACTGCAATGCACAAAAAAGGGGGCAACTGGTGTAGGACAAAGGGCATCACTGCCCTTCCCAAAATGGAAGGGATGGTGAGGTGTAGAACTAGAATTGCTTCAGAAACGGCAGCAAACTGGCACTGGCCTCTGTGAAAACAGGTGGGGTTTCAGAGAGAACAATCATGCACGGCAAGGAAGTGGGAGCCACGCTAACCCTATATTCCTGCCAGGAAGCCGATTGGTTGGACCAGAAAGGGAGATGAAGCTGGTTTGTCTCTTCCCTGCCCCTCCCATCTGTGTGTGACTCCATGGACTTTAGTGGAGTTACACCAGGCATGAATTTGGCCCATGCGGTTTCAATCTATCTAGGGTCTCATATGCCTCCCATCACTGCACTATCCACACCCCTATTTAGTTCACAGCAGGACACTGAAACTAGGCATGGGCAAAGCATTAGAAAGGGATTGGAAGGAACAATGCTGTCTAAACAGAGAAGTGACTGGGTGGATTACTGGCTGCAATAGGCCTCTTCCCTCTCTGTGGGCCACAAGGCACTTTTTCTCCACCAGCCCTATGACACATACAAAAGCTGGGTGTCATGTGAACATACAATGCCATAGTGAGGATTTGCACAAGCATAAACTAGATCAGATTCTGATCTCAGTTAATAGACTCATGGAAATGTAGGGCTAGAAGGGTCTGGGAGAGATCATCTAGTCCAGACTGTGTGCTGAGGACCAAACATACCTAGACCATCCCTGACAGGTGTTTGTCTAGCCTCTTCTTAAAAACCTCCAAATGCTGGGGAATGCATGACCTCCCTAGGTAACCTGGTCAAGCTCTTAGCTAGCCTTAGAATTAGAAAGTGTCTCCTAATATCTAACCTAAGTCTCTCTTGTTGCAAGTTTCCCTTTCTGAGTTTCCTGAAGGAGAACAAAATAGTTCACTAAAATATCCCTCAGTGACTCACACTTCAGTCAAGATGTTTGATGCATTTCTGATTTTCCAAAGAGCTGGCCTGGCTAATAAAGCACAGAGGATATTTTTAATAGCTACCTAGCTCCATGCAGCATCAGCCTGGCCTATCCATTTTCTGCCAAGGAGCAAATATTTGGTTTCATCCCAGAGAAAAACAAATTCCATTTGTCTGTTAAGAATCATCCCTTACTGCCTAGACAGAGCTCCGATTGCCGGGCTCCCAAGCAGCTGCCATCAATGGCTGTGCTGCCACCAGTATATTGCAATGACAAGAGGATACAGTCAAGACCGTGAGAGTCAGACTAGACTTTCCTTCTTATATCTGTTAAATGTGTGTGATTGACTGGAGCAGGAAGGGAGGCCGCATCCAAAAACAATTAGTTTCTTTCTCCCTTGTTTATTATACAAAGAAACAAATGGAAGTAGAATTGGCGCCTTTAGAAGCAACCCTACAATAAGAAACCAGCATGCCTGCCCGGGGAGAAAAACAGATACCTCCCAACTACTTGCTATGAAGAATGAATATAAATAAATAACGTTTTCAATGTAGGAAAAATACCTGGACAGGTTCCATTCTGAAGTACATTGTATAAAAATACATTGTACAAGCTGGTGCTTCCAGCTGCTCGCTGCGTTCTTACCTCTTGGAAATAGTTCCTCATTATTTCTACAGAGCCACAGGTGTGTATGGTGCTTTATAGCATGGGCCTATGCCAAGGATCTGACACCCTAGACAATGTGAGAACACCTACAGCTTTCTAAACTGAAAATTGTACAGCCTGGACCTAGGGGGAAGGTGCAAAAGGGAGGGCATCCTCAGGACGGGATTCGCCATTTCGGCTCAGCAGAGATGGGCCAACTGCTCCGGATCCAAGAAGAGCCGACTTTCACCTGGGCCTGAACCCAAACACAATTTGGTAGGTTGCTAACATCTTATTTGCAACTTTGTTACTTCTTTGGTATCCTGCTCCTGTAAGCTCCTCTGTCCCCTCCAGCTCTGAGCACGTCTTTACCTGGCTTTGCACTGCTCCCCATTCCTAGGGCTCATGGAGGTGTTTTTGAGGGGCATGCTCTCTCCTCTCCTCATGACCCGGTCGGTACTTATGCTCTCAGCCTGCCGCAGCGTTGTAAATCCAGAGGGACTCTGCTGGTGTCAGTGGATGAGGCTACACTGGCATAACAGAGCTCAGGAATTTGCCCAGTGTGCTCCATCCCACAGGGGGTGCCTCTGGGTTACATAGCCAAGGGATAACCTGGGTGGAGTCTGTCTGTCTGCTTACCTTCCAGAAGACACCAGCCTCTGCTGTGAGTGAGTCACCCTCTGCGTGGGTGTGACAGAGTGCAGAGCTCTGACAGCTGGGCCAGCACTCAGATCACTGTCGCCTCCATTAGTTCCCCCAGTAATGGCTGATGGAATAATTAGCTAATCAGGAGAGGCTGGGGAGGTAAGGAACTAATTAGCCCTCAACTGACCAGCCTGCCTGGAGGGAGGTGTTACAGAGGAAGAGGACAGGGCTAGGTGAGCTGGAATGAAGAGTGAACAGGAGCTGTGCCTGCCCAAGTGCCTTTCCTCTGCGGGCCCTAGCAAAGAGGAGCTGAAAGAAGTAGAGGTTAGAACTGTGATGTGGCACTGGATGGGTGTTGGTGGATGGGTCTGGAATAAAATGTAGCCTGCCCACAAGAAGGAAGTGGGTCTGAGCAGCTTGTGGGCCCCAGAGCCCCCTAAAGATTTGGCCCTTTATCTTTACTGGGCCATTAGCTCCCTCTCTATTTTGCTCTCACCTGTACGCAGGCTGGCCAGCCAGATCGCCACAGGCAAACACCAGATTTCTCTGACGGAGCAACCAAGGGCATGTCTATGAGCGAACATCGCTCTGCCCTGGCTCAGACAAATCCCATACTGAGGTGTGAGTATCTAGAACTATTGGGCCTGCCGCTGCCGCCATGGATCTCCTGGTTCATAGTATAAGACCCAACTAGAATCAGGAGGACATTTCCCCTCTGGCACAGCATTGCACGGTGAGGTGCATTAGAGGATTTTACGCACCTTCTCCTGGAACTTTAAGTGGCCACTTCTGGGAGAGAGGAATTGGACTAAGTGGATAATTGATGTGGTCCAGAATGCTGATTCTATGCAGGCAGCCAAACAAGGTGGTATCAACAGCCCTGATAGACTCCCCTTAGCCTGCTTTAAGGACATAGGTACAAAATCTAAGAGATCATTAGATTCTGGTCACCCTTCTGGGTGATGGGCATGAAGTCCCTACGCTTGGATGCCTATGACTACTTTTGAGGTTTATGAGAAAATTGGTTGACCCACAAATGATGCTGAGTTAAAGTAAACTGGCGTACACAAGCTGAAAGGCCATTCAAGGTCTATGAAAGATGAGCTTGTAGATTAGTTCTATGATGTTAACAGAGGTGGCGTTGTCTAGTGGTTCAGACAAGAGACTGGCATCTTGCACAATGGGGCCCTAGTCCTGATTAGGGCACCTGGGTTCTCCCATAGTATGAACCAAAGTGCTGCAGTGTGCTAAGAGAATTGCACTGGTGCTATTCATGTAAGCAGTGCCCACCAGGGCCTCTCCTGGGCTGCCTGGGCATTGTGACAGGACCACTGGGCTATATTTTGCAGCCAGCGCACTGCTAGCTAGAGGCACAAATAACCCAGATGCTCACACGCGGCGTTCGTGCTTTACTCTCATGTCCAAGAGAACCGTTTATTGTGTTCACATACAGCATGGCAACGTGGAAAACACTGGGAATCTTGCATCGCTGGTTGGGTTTCCTGGATGGTGTTAGTAATGGTGACTCGACCGTTCCCATCATAGCTATAATATTAGGAACCCTGGCTACAGATGGTCAGATGCACGGCATGTCTAACAAGGAGCAATCCAAAATTCTGCTGCAGTTTGGGCCGGGCCCAGCGGCTTTGCCACATCTCGCCCCCTAGCCCCCACCATAATGGACTTTTCCGTAAGCTTCCCCCCCCCCCCCCTGTCTTTTGGTTTTGATTTGTTGGTTTTGTACAAAGCACAGTTTGTAAAACTGATCATGTTAATCCACAAGGAATGGCTATTCCCTCCCCTTGTCCCCCGCCCCTTCCAATCAACACCCCCACCACCCTTCCACCAATGCACACACATACCCTGCCCCTAAATATCCTGACACTGCAATTCCATGTCACGTGTCCTCCCCGGCCTGCACACTCTGTTGGGCCTCTGATTGCAATTCCCTTTGTTTGGACATTAATACAAATCACACAATGGAAAAAAACATATTGAGCCAGGCTCAAGGGGAAGACACGCTCTGCTGGGCTCTGACTCCAGTCTCTGATGCATTCAACAAAGCCCGACAGACCCTCGACCCTTGGGGCAGCTCCCACCTCACAACTCCAGGTCTCAGGCCCCAACAATGACAGGACAAGGAGGAAAAGGAAGAAAGGAAAGAACCTAGGAGGAGACATTGCTTTTTGTTTAGGTTTTTCCTCCCCCACAACTCCCCTCAATAGCCTCTGGGGAATATGCCGAATCCTACAGCTCAGTTCCCATCTTCAAATGAGATCCTGCTCCGAGGCCAGGTTCGCTGTGAGTATCCGCTTCCTGTTTGGAATGGGGGTGATAGGTTTGGCAGTGGGGGAGGGGGAAGCAGGCTTTCACTGAGAACACGGCAAGTCTGGGATGTCAGTGAAGGCAAGAGAAGCGCCAAAGGAAGCCGGTGAAGCCGGCCTTCTGCATTGTGTTTGTACTCCGAGCTCTCCTTGCCACGGCATCAGTCCGACAGCTAAGGTCTGCTGCTGAATCACCTTTCGCAGCACTGTTGGGGGAAGTCACATGGGGTGTCCTTGTCTTCAGCCACACATCCCTCCTCCTCCTGGCAGCTGGCCTCGTGTCCACCGGACAACTCGGCGTCACAGTCGAGGGACTCGTAGATGGTGGGCAGCGTGGTCTGCTGGCTGAGGCGCTTGCGCAGGCCCACCAGCAAAGGCTGTGGCATGGAGGAGACGTCCACATTGTTGCCGAGGTCTATCCAGGCCAAGCACGGGAACTTGTTCATGTCCTTCATGGTGTCCGTCAGCTCCTTCGTGGTGGCTCGGGTCAGCCGGTTGCCGTTGAGGGAAAGGTGAGTGAGATTGGGCAGCGCCCAGAAGAAGGGCAGGAGCAGGCGCACCATGTCGTCGGTCATCTCGGTAAAGCTCAGGTCCACCGCGGTGAGGTTGTTCCCGTTGTTCTGTAGGTAATAGGCCATGCGGTGGACATCCCGCATGGTCAGGGGAATCCCTGATAAATCCATGGAGTCCTGGCTCAGCTTCTTCTGCAGGCTGGTCTTCAGGCTAAGGAGAGGGAGCTCGTTAGAAATATGGACACAGGGAGGGGAGGGAGCTTGGAAACTGAACCCAAGTAACATTTCCTTGGACTGAACTTCCCTTACTAAATATGTTGCTCTCATGCATTTCCTCTTGGCCAGTCCTAGCCACAGGCTTGCTGGGCCACTGCACAGAGCTCCGTGGGGATGATGGGGTGGGTGGGTTTTGGCTGGGGGGGGAGGATGTCCAATAATCAGGTTCTAAAGTGACTTGCATCTCGGATTCTGCTATACAAAAGCACATTAGACATAACCGTGGTGACAACCCTTAACAAATGGACAGGTCTGCACTGCTCTGCGTCTGTGGGTTTGCTGGGTCCCTAATCAAGTGCAAAGGGCTCCCAAGCCTCGGGGCTGTCCTTGGAGTCACCTGCTGTGGAGCAATTTCCCCACTGTAGGGCCCCGATGGATCTAACTTGGAGCACACGAGTAGCACCGCTGAAGTCAACGGAACTATTCGCATGCTTCATAGGCACCTTGCTGAATTGGGGTCTAAGAATAAGCAAACCATTTCTAGCGCCGCCCCTCTGCAAGCCTGTTCTCAGAGCCCATGCACACCTCGTTGCAAAGCTGTTCAGAGGACGCAATGGGGATGCAGAGAAATGCAACCCGCAGGAGGCAGGACCGCCACAGTGTTCTTGGAGCTAGCAGTAATCCTTAGGCTGTCACACCAGCTCTATAGCCCTGCTCCATAGTCCAGAGCTGATGCTGTTATCCCATGTGCTTCAGTCTATAACAATCCCCCATGAGCAGATATATGTAAATGTGCATTAATGGCTACGTAACACCCAAAGGGCACACGGGATTCTGGGATACTCTCTGATGCGTCACAGAAATATGAGCTGGAAAAGGCCTGCCAGGACGCCCCATCCGTCTCCCTGCCCATGAAAAATTAGTCCCTACTCGACACTTACTCGTGTTTGTCTGGTCTAGTTTTAAATGACTGTGCACTTCCCTGGGAAACTCTCCCCCACTAAGGCCTACTACGGAAAGCTGTGATCTGAAATGTCAAAAGCCTGCTGTGCTAACTCAGTAATAATAATAATCTTACATTCAAGTGGCGCCGCTCAGCCTGAAAGATCCTGAAGTGCCTTACACACTATATTGTGTGGCCTTGGTTACATGCTGTGGGACTCCCTTGGTTGTGCAGTAGGTTTGCAGAGGGTATGTATGAGGGCTGGCTGACTGTGTGTCTACTCCCACAGATTATACACACACCCACCCCCCCCAGAGACCCAGTACTCCATGGCCTGACGGTGACTTGTGGCGTCATTTGCACTTGTGCAAAGAGGGTGTCAAACCTACCATATCACAGTGCTCTGCTTGCTTGCCCCAGTGCGGGTATGTGACACCCGCTTCGTACAGGATCAATGACTATGAGGTACCAGGCCATGAAGAATCAGGAGCACAAATTGCAGGGCCCCTTTATGGAAATGCAGCTGCCATTGAACTAATGGTAGGAATTCAGATGGGCAGTGCATAATCCTCCGCATTGGGGTTTGGCCAGGTCCCTGGGGTAAGCCTCCTACTCTGCTGAAAACTGCCAGGTGAGATTTAAAACCCCCTCCCCCCCCCCAAGTGGGTGCGACCCTGGTTTTACAGCTGTCCTGACAGAATCACATTTGTTTAGTCCGTCACTGACAATGCCGTATAAGATTGGCAAAGGTAGGACAATGCTCTTCCCATGCAGAAGATCTGATCTGGCCTGGGGATGCTGTGTAAGATCTCAAACACAGAGGAGGATGAGGCATTTATTGACGTTCTTTAAGTCCTTCAGCAATGCTGGGTATTTGGCTGAGCAGCAGATTTAAATGTTTGCCCGAACTGATCATCAGACGCAGGCTAGGGCCAGGCACACTGAGCTGTCGGGGGGGGATGCACCAGGGCCAAACCGGAGGGAAATCTCTCTTGGACGTGCTGGATTATCGGGTCGCATGGGAAGAGCGCAGTTCCCAGGTTCAATGGGTTGGATGGGGAGAGGCACCAAGTACACTGGGCTGGAGAGAAGTGATAACATGATTGATGGGGCTTGATTCTCTGGTGTAAATTGTGAGTGGCTCCAGTGGTGTAAAATGGGGGTCAGTGAGGGCAGAAGAAGAGGGTATAATTTAAGAACTAGATATTCTGTGAGGAGCTCGGACGGGCCAGGCTTCTCCTTCCCCTCTTGCACAGAGTCGTGCATCAGACATCCATTACAACCCCAGTGACTCCCTCAGTGCAAACTGCAGCAATAAGTCACGGATCCCACTCTGCCTGAAGCAGGTACCTTCTGTCTCGCCCCAGCAACAAGCCAAGACCCAGAGGAGGCCTTAGCAAGCAGATAAATTATCTTCCCAGAATTGACTCTCCAGCCAGGGCTGCTGCTGGCTGAATTCACTTAAGCCATCCTCCCTCAGTCCCTCCCAGCCTACAGCTCTTCCCCTTCTCTTGCCCGCAGTGCCTGTCTGCGTCTTTCACGGTGGCGCTGAGTTTCCTTGCTTCATCCCTCTGGATTTCAGAGGCTTCAAAGGTGCATCTGCTCCCTCCCCCCACCCCTTTTCCTGTGTTGGAGTCTCCTTGTTTGCTTTAAACGGTGCTGTGGAAGTGCAGGTAGAAGCGTGTGCTTGAGCTGCTGCTGACACAGCTCTCACCATACCCAGCTGTTTTAACAGGTGCTTGGCTACGTGCCAGGCATGGAGCTCTCTCTCCCAGGGCCAGACTTGGAACTCCTTGACCGTGAGGAGCACAGAGTGACCTGCTCACAGGTGTCTCTTCCCCACCTGCCCCGTCCTGAGAGACAATGGAAAAAAGCTGGTTTACACCAGTCGGTTCTGGGCTTGGCTCCAGTTTTGCTCATGCACCCTCCCTTGCTGTGATTTCTGGAGCGTACAATCCTGACACCCCTGCTGTAACGCAGAGGGTGCGTCAGAGCCCAGCCACAGCCCTGCGTTCACCTCAGGCTTTGCATCGTAATGCCCAGACCGAGCCCGGAATGCTCCTCTCCTTGTGCAGCCGAAGAGAAAAATACCAGGTTATTCCCAGAGAAATGGGGCCTCTATTATCTCCTAACTTCTTAGTAACAATGGCCTGAAAATTGCAACCCCTGAAAGCTTTTTGTGAGACAGAATAGGTGCATAATCACCATGCTTTCCATTCCCACAGCACAGCGCTTTGGCAATGGTAGGCCAGGTCCTCCGCTGGCGTCGATTGACCGAGCTCGAGTGAAGTCAATAGGCCCCTTCGCACCAGCGGAGGATCTGCCCCATTAATACAGAGATGGAGCACGCACTTGTGATCTCTGCAGCAGGCTGGGTGTGAAAAAACTCGCCCTCCCTCCTTTCCCAGCTGTGGAGCGGCTCCCTTGGGGGGCAAAGACTGCTGGAACTGTGCACCTATTGGCCACCCTGCTCCCCCAGCAATCCCTCCCCTGTGCCTAGGCCTGGGTTGCATGACCCTGGCACGGCTCCCAAAATCTTGCAGAGAAAAGTCACACTCCCCTGAGCAAGGAACACAGGCAAGAATGATCAGCTGCCTGGGCAGGAGAAATCAAAATGCCTTCTGCCCTCAGTGGCCGAGAGCGGGCCTGGGTAGGTGATGGCGACACGCTTGCCAGTCTGACAAGCACCATCCAAGCCACTGTGCCCTTATATGTCTCTTCTCCACTGTGAGTGGCCTGGCTCTCCCCAGGACCCCATTCGGAACCCTGGCAAAGCCCATCCCACAATCCCTGGGGTCTCACTCCCTGGGAAGGCCCAAACCTGCTCCCACTGAAATCAGGGGCGGTTCAGTCAAGGGGAGCAGGCCCTTCATATTGTTCCATTAATGGGGGCTGCTGGTCCACAGCCACCCCACAACCTCTGTATTGGGTACTGGTGCGACCGCTGCTGAAATACTGTGTCCAGGCATGATGCCCACACTTCAAGAAGGATGCTGATAAACTGGAGAGGGCTCAGAGAAGAATCAGGAGAATGATTATCACTACAAGGCAGGTTTTCTAATCATGTCGAGTCAAGTAGCCCAATCAATTTAGCTTAACAAACAGAAGGTTGAGGGGTGACTTGACTACAGTCTATAAGTACCCACAAGGGGAACAAATATTTAATAATGGGCTCTTCAGTCTAGCAGAGGAAGGTCTAACACCATCCAATGGTTGGAAGTTGAAGCGAGACACATTCAGCCTGGCAATAAGGTATAAATTTGTAATGGTGAGCGTAATTCACCAGTGGAACAATTTACCAAGGGTCCTGGTGGACTCTCCGTCACTGAGCATTTTAAAATCAAGATTGGACGTTTTTCTAAGAGATCTGCTCTAGGAGTCATTGCGGGGCAGTTCTCGGGCCTGTCTTCTACAGGGGCTCAGACTAGATGATCACAATGGTCCCTTCTGGCCTTAGACTCTATGAATCTAAAACTGTCCCACCCACAAGATGACTGGTGCTGAGCTCGCGCTTCAGCTTGCGTTTCCCAGATGTCTCCCTGGGCCCTGTCCCCCCCGCAGCACTGCAAACCTGGCTGTTTGAAACTCCCATCGCCCCAGGCACCTAGCTTGATGCCTTAGGAACCCAGGAAACCCCAGGACCAAGTGTAAACATCCTCCCTGCGATGTATGTTGCCTTCCCCTCGGACAGGAAAACAGGGCACACTGGCCAATAGGGGACGAAGCAGCATGCTGGGCGTGCCAGCTCCGGGGCATCGATGCGCTCTGGGGGAGGCAGCCAGTCGCGGTGGAAAGAATACTACAAGAGACAGGCTTCAGCATTCCCCCTTCCTCCCCCTGGCTAACAAACAGCCTCTCTGCACACTGCCTCAGTCAGAGCTCCGGCTTCCTGGAAACTGGTGCTTAACTAATGCAGGAAGCTTAGCAGCTGTCGATGAAAGAATCCGCCAACAAGTAATTAAGTCTTGTCTACCAGGAATCAGCAGAACCCTGTCTTTGGGACCCGGCCCACTTTCCCTCGGCCTCGCAACGCTTTGGGTCTATGAGATTGG